GCTTTATGCAAAAACTGTGGCATTAAAAAAATTCGACAGTTTTGTCTAATTAGAAGTCTAAAGAGACTTATACTTTTTGTCATATCTTTTTCAAAAGACAAATTTAATCAAAAACAAAATTGTTAAGGCATAAAGAATAAAAGAGTCAAAATTCTGTGAATATTTTTGCTCAAAATTTTGAAATACTTGTTTCAAAGGAGAGCCGAGGGAACAAAAGGGCAGAGGTTGTACCTTCAAATTAATACTTTGGATTTTTAAGTACACAAAAATTGTGTACCTTGTATATAGGTCTGCCAATGAAATTAGCACAAAACGAATGTCTGTAAGAAATTGTATAAGTATAAGGGAAGGAATTGATTCGAAATAATTTGACTGATCTTACTGCGAAATCGAAGACCACATTCTACAGGTACGAGATGCAATTAATTCGTACGTTTTCTTACTTTTAATTTTTTTATTCCCTGCGAGTTCTTTTCGCCCTCATGCCATTATCGGTGGTAGTGGTCGTTGCCCCATCGTTCCGGGTCTTTTTGCCCACCTGAACCTGCGATTGCGCCGTTAAATGTAACGAAATTGCGTGCGTGTTTAACTTTTCGGCTAAAAGTAGTTCCTTTAAACCTTTCATTTTTTGACTGTGTAGAATTACAGTAGGAGACGTCACAACGCTCGTCGTTATCTTATTTTGGTCTTCATCTGTCTGCCTCGATGTACTCGGACTCGATTGTTCTTTATCTGAGTTCTTTTTACCAGTGTCCTGCACTGGCGGTGTTTCATCACAACCTAAATTTGTAATAAAGTGGGTTTTCATTATTTCTTAAATAACAAAAATAAATGGAATAAATGGAGCATATAAAAAAAAAAGATATATAGTTAACATACCAACAAAAGGAGATCCTCCTCCTTGAAGGAGGTATTCAGGGTTCAGGATTTTTTCTGAACAGGCTGCTGTAAGGGCTTCAATGCTCGGATGCAAGCAAGGACTATTTCGACTTTCCTCTGCACTATTAACCTTAGACTCTATGGCGTTAATGAGGTCGGTGCCTGGTGGTGACAAGTCTTGCTTCTTAGGTACACAGTAATTATTGTTATTTAAGCAATTTGTACTTCCGTTTGAGTGATTGTTAAAATTATGTTGTTGTTCAATCCTGTCCTCAGCTGTTTCACAAATTATATTTACTTTGGCACGCACATCTGCATCAAATTTTGATATTGTATTGACAAGAGGCTTTGCCCAACCAATGTGAAGAACTGGTGTGGCACTGCCTTCTTCCCATTGACAAATACCATCATAGAACCTTAAAAGATGTGCAAAGCATTGAGGTTTCTTTAGAATTGAATTTGCACTGAAACCAGAACTTTCTACTTTCATAATATGTGGAATGAGTTCATTGGCTATTTCAAGAAACTCTTTATATATCTCTTCATCATCTCGGGAATAGTTGTACCTTAAAAATGCCATTATTGAAATGCAATTAAAACATTTTTGTAAGGATTTAACTCACTTTCTTATTACATCACTTGCATTGGCCCAGCTTTCAAAAGCCTCTTCATACATTTTATTTCTGTAGAAATATCCTCCTTGATAAGTATATGGGTAAACATGCATATTAGTATAATTTTGTCGAGCTGATGCAATTGCTTCTTTAAAAAGAACATCACAGGGAATTCTGAAATATAAATTTTTTTAAATACAGATTAACTGTATGCATCAAAATAGTAGCAACTAAAACAAAAAATATTGACCTTCCTGCTGTTGCAGATATCTCCTCTAAATCTCCCAAATTTCCAATTGCCATCGGATACTTTGCTAAGTGGCCTAAATCATACAATAACCATAACAATTCTTGTTGTAAAAGTGCCACCTCATAAGCATCATGAGCTGTATTAAGTGACGGGTTAATAGCAGAAACAAGAGCAGCCACTTCCATTGCTCTAGTGCAAATTACAGGTTTATTGTTTACATATAACCATGATCGTGCAGAAACACCTTTTCCAATTTCTTGCCCTCTTTTATCTTCATTGCCCTTTCCGTGCCACGTAACTTCAGCGGTTTCTGTGCCATACTGGCCAAAAACAACCCAAGCATGGTCTTCAGATAAGGCAAGATGGACATCGGAATAACCCAGCACTTGACAACCAGCAACTACTGCAAATGCTACACCAAAACAATCAAGCTTATTGCCTGTTAAGTAGCTATAGAGGCTTTGCAAATGCGCCCTGTCTTTATAATAACTCCTTGACAATGTATTCCAAACAACATCTGACACTTTCTTCACTATTTCTCTTGTTGCATACACTTTCTCTCTGGATGTTTTCACTACAGGATCGACGGCACTTTTAATAATTGCGTGAAACTTGTTATAAAGGGACTCTACTGTATGAATTTCTAGCGTAGGTAGACTGGATGGCTCCATAGGTTCACATAGCTGCAGTGGCGCATTTGGCCGGCTACAAGTCAATGAGTTTTCAACCGCACCAACAATTATTGACAGTAAAGCAAGATCTGGTTCCGAGACTTTTTCTAATTGATGCTTAAAAATTTCAATAACAGAGGACACGTTTTTTATGGGAAAAAACGCTTTGTCTATTCCTCGAAAACCCGCCATATCTGCTTACATTTTCACAGTTTCTGTCTCATGTCAAAAATTTGTTACGCGTCGCCGCGTCTTTTTAATTGGAAGTGTTTGTAAATCTCTCACATAGATAATCTCTCAATATATTAAAAGTTGTGGTTAGAGTCCCTACACAACGAAGGTGATTAAATTGCATATACAGGGCGTTCGTAAGAATGTAACACCATAAAAAATTCAAAATAACGTAGAGGAATAAAGACACGTCAAAAATAATTTGCATAATGCTAGAAGATAAATAATTCTCAACTTCAACTAAAAAGTGCGACGTTTATTCTTTTATTGTTGACACATAATAATAAATAAACAATTCGATTCACCTTGCATATTACAAAAAAAAATAATTTTCTAACAATTGACATATTTCGACTATTTATAGCTCAAATAGTAAATCTTTACACTCACAATTATACCGGATGTTATTCAGATTATAAAACCATCGATAATTATAAAAAAGAGCATGATTAATTATACCGGAAGCAAAAATTTTACTATTCGGTTGTGGTTATGCATTGTGAAACGTCTAATAGGCCCTTTAAAAAAATCACCATGTATATACGTATATAAGCAGTTGATTTCTTGAAAGGTGGATTTTAACGAAATTCGCAGGGAATGTTTTAAGACTTGAATTCCATTAGAGATAATTCTGTTTTTGGAAAAAATCCGTTTTCATGCATTGTTAATAAAAAAAATACTCCGCAATATACATCCTTTATGATTATTACATGTAGGTTACACTAGTTGATTTCCGTGATTATACACGTTGAGGCAGAAAGAGAATTGCTATAAAAACATCAGGTTACTAGCGCAAATGATGTGCGGTTATTGCTTACTTTATGATGAGGCAGAAGTAGAAGCTTCCTCCCTTTAATCACCGCTTTACCACTTCTCAATGGCGAAAGAACACTCATGGTCGTGATCATTGAGATCGTTAGGCCTTAATAACGATCTAAACGATGATCATTGTCGTCTATGTGTATGAAAACTTTAATGATATATAGAAAAATCGTGATTATTTTTATTACAATTAAAAAACAAACGTTAAGTTTAAGAAATAAAACTAAGAAAATTTTATAAAAATAGTTATTGCATGATGATGAACCACATAGATGATGCTAAAGAATATTTTACGCTTAAATGAAAATGTAAATCTACGTATGTAAAAATAATTTATTACTATAAAAAATTATACTGACATGGTTTGCAATCAAACCACTAATTTGCTCACCTAACGAGTAAATTTAATTTTTGGTTCACAATTATAATGTTGAATATGCAGAATAAAAATGATAGGTGCCTAAAAATACTGTAAATTTTATTTCTTTACATTATCAGGTATGTAATTATCTCGTCCTGGAATTCCTGTACCTTCTGAGTCGCCTATCCATGGATATTTATTAGGGCAATCTTGACAAGTTGTCATATACCTGACATCGGTTATGTTAGAACCAGATGGTTTAAATGCAAGACCGCATTTATTTGGATTTGAACATGGCGGTGGAGGGTAGGTGTTTTTACTTGCACAACTCCACGGCTCATAATTGTTGAGTTGCTTAAGCGGTTTTGGATCGGTCATCCAAGTTAATGTTTGGGTAGCAGTCAAAAACCATACATCTGGTCTAAAATAAAATACATACATTTATAGATAAAAAATTGTACTGAACGGATAGTAATTTCTAATGATAAATAAAAAATATACTTGATACAAAACTAAGGGGGGGTGGGCGAGGAAACTTTAATGGTTATCTTCCTTTTTTATTCACCCCCGGTAAATTTCTTGCAGTTATAAGCTAAAAGAGAAATGCAAATGCGACAAAAATGAAAATTATTCAGTTAATTACATTGCAAAGTGTATTAAGATAAACTTATGTATAAGAGATTATGATCGCGCTATATTCCCTGATGATACCACTATAGCTGTTGGCGAAACATTGAATAAACGACTCCATCGGTGTTTTCGCTGAAGAAGGATAATTAATCCTAGACTACGGGCATGATGCTCAAATATCGGTTCTATTTTACCATACTATAAAACTGGGTAGTGGCGAGTGGTGCCCCCCCCCTATGATTTCGACGAGACAATCGCCTCCCCCCATCTGCTCCTATTTTCACGACCGCTGAACATTGGTATTATTTCGGGTGAATTTCGAGTATAACGACAACGAAGAGATCACTGTAATTTCGTCGTTATATCCAGAAGTCGTTACAAGCAAAGTTAAAGGAGATACACACACTGTTTTTCAATTTTGAAACAATTTTCGCCTTTTTTTAACAGTAAATGTACATCTGGAAGTCGCACTTATTCAAAAGTTTACTAAACACAGTTGCTACTCAGAAACAGCGGTAAAGCTCACCACACTTGTTGACTATCTGAGTGAATGTAAACAAAGGATAAGAAAGCTCATTGTGTACTTCTAACTCTACCTACCATTTTATTAATAAATAGATTAGTCACCCTTCAATTCATCACAGACTACAATAATTTAATTTTGTCGGCTTTATCGTTAANTACAAGCAAAGTTAAAGGAGATACACACACTGTTTTTCAATTTTGAAACAATTTTCGCCTTTTTTTAACAGTAAATGTACATCTGGAAGTCGCACTTATTCAAAAGTTTACTAAACACAGTTGCTACTCAGAAACAGCGGTAAAGCTCACCACACTTGTTGACTATCTGTGTGAATGTAAACAAAGGATAAGAAAGCTCATTGTGTCTTTAGCGGCCGACTCCGGTTGCTATAGCTGCATAGGATTACTAGGGATTTATTACAAATGATTCATTAAAAACATTCGTTACACCCGAACTCGGCGTTACATCCGAAGTCACATGAATTTTGTACTAAAGTGTGCTTTAACTTCAAGGGACTTATCTATGACGTAGCACAATGGTCGCTATAACCAAGGTTGTAATAAATGAAATCCACTGTATATTAAAATAAAATGAGAAGGATTAAATGGGAAATCAAAATGGGAACATGTCTTATGGTTTAAAAGAAAGAAAAGAGGTCAATTCACTTACAATGCAGCTGCCCAATCCAAAAATTTCTGAAGTCCTTTCTCTAATTCTTTAATAGAAAACCAATTGGTATGAAAAGCCATCATGTAAGGTGCCCTATTTTGATCGTAGTGTCTGCTAAAGTCTTCCTGTAGCCATTGCAATACATCGTCGGCGTCAAAATTGTTGAGAACACATTGATCCAAATAAGGACAGTGTCCTCCTTCAAAACCTTCTACGTAGTGAGCGTTCAAAGGTATTTCCCAAACGCCTTAAAAATTCGCAAATTATTTAGAAAGTTACATGTGATGAAATTATTAAGTAAACTGGTATTTACAAATGCACACACGACTGAATTCAAGTTTGAATTGTAAAATTTTAACAGAAATGAATTACTACAAGCAGCGTAGGGAACGCCATCTGCTAAAAGTTGCTACATTTTCTGAGATCCAAAAATATTCGACAATACGTGTTAGATACGTAACCAAACGGAACAAGAAGTTCATGATAGTCAATATTTTGTGGAAACCGTCAGATGTGGATTGCGATTTCGGTCTCATTAGGTCTCATCTTTGAATTCCACTAACACACTTCGTATCGTAACCAATCAAAACAAAAGGTTCATGGTGATCAACATCCTGTCGAAACCGTCAGATGTGGATTGCGATTTCGATTTCAATGGATCTCGTCAGCACGCTGTATTCTATATTCTATACCTGCTGTCTCGATATTTTTGTATGCCAAAAAATGCAACGTTCATTACGCTATCTAAAGACAACAGGTAGGTACTGTTGATCTGTAATCTGTCGAAACTGTCTATGACGTTTTGACGAGATCGAAATCGCGATTCATAAATGGTGATTTTGATAAAATATTAACCATCATGAATTTTTTGTTTTTTAACAGAAATGCTGACCTGGGAAGGATTTAGTTGGGCATGTTCCTGATTTACATTCATGAGGAATTTTATAATCTAAAGTATATGGCCATACTGGTATAGGGACGGCCGGTACTCCCAGCGAACTATCATAAATATATCCAAAATCTTCCAAAACCTGCAATTAATACAATTAGTTTACAATATACTTTCGAACTACCAAAATTAACTTCTGTTAATTCATATTACCTTATATTGCGTATTTCTGCCAGGTTTGAGGAAAGGGGCTCTCATCCCAACCACTTCAGTTTTTGAAACATTGGCGAAATGCCTTAGTATTTCTCTCATTCCTATCATTTCACCCACCCATTCTTCGTACCCCTTGTCTTCGAGACCATTTTGCAATCTATAAAGAAATAATCTGGTTAATTTGCACAAAAAGTGTCGGTTCAATTTTGATGAATTATTTATAGATAAATTCTTGAGCTGTAATAAATATATATGTGTTAATGTGGCTTAGATCCTTACGAAATAGTTTCAGTTGCCATTTCGTGACCTTTACTGGCTAATTCTTGAACCATATGATAGTTGCCATATTCGTGGGCTAAAAAGAAGGTGCCCTTGATTCCGCAACCGTTGGGATTTTTTCTACCTTTAGAAAACACTTTTTTGTAATGCTCGTAGTTATTAAGATTAATGGCACCATCAAAAGTAAGAAGAATTATTTGTGGAGTCTGAAAGCATAAAAACGTAATGTTATACAAATTAGTAACTGTATGGTAGCATCATTTCAAACAAAACCTCTTTTGGATCCAATCCTCCGGGAATGATTGTACCATCCTTAGAGCAGAAGCAGTACGGCAGCTGACATTTATCTGGTTGGCATTTTTCAGCTAAATCTGTGGGTGGTTCGGTAATTGGGGCAGGTGCTAAAGAAAAGAATTGAAATCATTTTGCATACGGAACCGCATTCTAAATAAATCGTAATTGCAATCGTTAGAATGGACTCTTAAGTTGTTTTCACAAACAGACAATAATGTAATATACGTATATAATAATTACTAAAACAAAAACTTACTTGTAGCAATAGGACCGCATCTTGCTTCGTTCTTGAAGGTACAGAATTTGCTTATGTCATCAAAAAACAAACCGGAAGGGCACCTGTTTAAATACGGATATCCATCGACACACTGAATGAAATTATGTCAAATAAATAATAAAATGTGTTTATTGACAGTTTAAACAAAAACGCAAAATTTATACCGTTTTTGAAATGAAACTTCTTTACGCACGGTAAAGTAAGTTCGTTTCATGCGAGTTGCTTTGTAACGAAATCATGCAACGGATGTCCCCCCTCTACTCGTCCATGCAGTCGACTTCGTAGTGGGGATCGCTTGAGCCGTGAGCGCGCTTCAATGCAACGTTCGTTACAGGCAACTCCGNGTTAAGGAAAATTTCTGGTTTACCGTCAAATTTTTGAATTTTCGTTTCGAAAACATCGATTCTACGTTATTACTGATGTTAAGTTCAATGGTAATAACTTTAAACCCTACTAATCGCATGGTAATGATTGAGAAAAAGAAATTAAAAAGAAACAAAAAAATTCGAGTTATAAAAGTTCGATCGTATTTTACGTTTACCTATTACACGTTGTATTTTTTTTTATTAAGTATATTAAAGAGGGACTAACCCTAATTACCATAAAACTTTGTCATTGCGGACACGTGTTTTACCACTTCTAATGTGAACATTGTCAATGTGAGATGATACTCACATTAGAAGTACGTAAAACACATATCCACGGTGACCAACTTTTATGGTATTTAGGGTGAGTATCCTTTTGGTTTGTTAATTTACTCCTTTACTACTTTGAAACCATTTATGTATAAACATACTGCATATTTGCAACTTCTGAGCTGAAGAAGTGACAAACAAAGTGGCGAAACGCATGTAAAGTCAATATATATAACCATTGTGGAAATTAATTTACAATTATCAATTCATTAAGTACAGTTAGAGTATATTAATTACATATTTCGATGTTTGCGCTGTTACCATTTTACCTGATAAAATCTCCTGCAGGTTTTGGGATCTGCAAAATTTCCTGTTCCTATTTCCACGGGACATCGGAATTCTTCATCATCTTTTGACTTATCTTTTTGACCACTAATATCTGTAATAAGTAATTGTTTATAAGTAACAACAGCATTACTTGAAGATAGATAATTAAAATCAAATGGAAAAATCTAAATAGTAGGTAATTGTTTTCTCTATTAGAATATTGAATTTAAGACTAATAAATGATATTCGCTTCAAGATTCCATGGTACATTTAAAAATGGAAGAGGCAATTTATTTGGTGATAAATGGAAGTGGATGACGTCAAAGCAATTTTACATTATTTACGTCTTAGTATTTCATTCCTGTAATTAGTAGCTAACACTGAATTATTCTATATGTAACAATTTGTATATTTTTACTAGAATTAGTGCTATAGTTATTAGTTGTATGTAAACCTTGAAAATTGCTTAGGAATTAAAGATATACAGAAATCGAGGTTGAAATAGAAAGTCATCAGCGCGTAAACATATTAACATATTGTTTAGACAACTGTTTCTTCCGAGATAATTTTAATTTTATTCGCCTCTGTGTTAGTATTTATTTTTAACACATGAAGATAGCAAAAATAGAAGAGGAGACTGTAGTAAAGTAAATAATTAAACTAAGAGAACCTACCCCAAATACCACAACACCTTGGGAAAACGCGGGCACATGTTTCGCCCACTGAAATTTGGGGTAAGTCCTATTGGTCTAGTTATTAACATGGAGATAGTGGTTTACTTCAATCAGTAATGTACTTTTTACTTGAATGGATATTACTAACTTATGAAGATTGGATAATAGTGGCTTTACTTTATTTATTTATTTGTTTGATTTAACCCGTTAATTATAAAAAAAGTTCAGTAATATTTATTTTCGAATATTATTGTGATATGTGATTTTTTTTACTTGGTTGATTCAGGAAAATCATTTGGAAATCCCAACTTAAATTAATCGTAAATTAAATAAAGTGAGAGAATACTGATTCCAAAATTATTTAAATAAACGCCAAAGGTATTTAGTTATATACTGTTCTAGATAATAAATGAGTTTTAACGTGGCGGCTGGTGTTTTCAGAAATGGGTGAAGAGTTGCAAAAAAAAACGAGAAAAAAGTAAACTTACACTTAGGTACAGTATGCTCTTAGAATATGTGCCAGGGATGGGCAAGTATAATTCTCATTCTTTATTTTGATTACTACAATTTTTTATGTCCTTAAAATGTAATTACTCTCAAAATAAATTAAAGATATATCCTCCGAGGGTTCCGTGATAAGGTTTGAACCAGGCAATCCAATTGAAGATACAGTCTCCTTAAGAAGTAGCGTTTTCATGTTATTACCAGAACAGGTTCGCTTTAACAGAGCCCGATTCGATAGTTTTTGGGTTTTTTCTAACAAATTTTTGGTAGAGTTGTCCACAAATAATATTATAATGAACAAAAATTATATTTAAGATTTAGTGATTTTAATTTATTCTCAAACCGTTTGTTAAAATGCATCATATAGAAATACGCTACAGAGTAGAGATGGACCGGATACCGGATAATCGGGTACCCGGGAAAACCACTAGGGTTGATGGTTCATGTCTTCGTTCCAAACCAAATTAGGTACCGTTAAAAAAGTTGTTCAAACACTAATCCAATGAAAACTTTCTTAATTGGCGGATTTCACCCAGAGGGTTGATTAGAACCGATGAAATGAGCCTATGAAAGGTGACAAAACCATACTAATAATAAGTTATCGTTATTCAAAATTCGATATATTAAAAAGTGACAGAAACAGTTCGACCATACTGATGTATTCTTGTTCACGAGAAAAAGTAAACACAAGAACTATTTCGAAGTAACAAATAATTTACTATAGGAATCAATAAAAATATAAATAGAACAAACAACCTCATTATAAGGTTAACAGTCCTAAGACTGGTTGGACACGCACCTCCACTTTTTCCTATCCTGAGCTAATCTTCGCATATCATCATCATAAGGTCAACAGTCCTAAGACTGGTTGGACACGCACCTCCACTTTTTCCTATCCTGAGCTAATCTTCGCATTTCCTTATAACTAGAACAACCCACATCCTTAACTATTTGCGAACAGTAATCTAATCTAGGTTTACCTCTACCCCTCCTAACTTCCGTTTCTGTTTTCAATATGTCTCTGACTAAACCTTTATGCCTGAGAAGGTGTCCTATCAACCTATCTCGTCTATTTATTATTGACTTCCATAGAGTCCTCTGTTCTCCTATTCTTTCTAATACCTCTTCATTTCTAACCTTCTCTATCCATGATATCCTCATCATTCGTCTGTAACACCACATTTCGAACGCTTCTAACCTTTTCTTTTCCGCCACGCCCGCTGTCCATGTTTCGCACCCTTACATAAACCTTTAACAATATTTTTCGAATTTCTAAATTAACCGTTCGCTAAACAAACAACCTCTCCCAATAAAATCATAATTACTAATTTTCACTAGGTAGTTTTTTTGTTATACTTATTAAATTATTATTGCTGGTGTAACTTTTTTCTTTTTTCTCTAGTAGAATTACCCGGCGTTATTATCCAGTACCCGCCCGGATCCTAAAAAGTATCGGATCCAAACCGGGTACTCGCCACATTCCTGCAGTAGAGACATTAATACTAGGTCAAGACACAAACCTACAATTGTATATTCCTATTTACTATACGCTTCAATTTTTAACGGTTCTGTACTTTATTCAGTGTTTTAATCATAAAAAATGCGTAGCGTTAAAAGAATTTCGTTACAACTAGCAATATTTTATTTTTAATAAACACTTTAATTTAGTACTAAATTGGTTTCCGAGCCGGTTACTACGTACTTGCCTTAACGTTTCATTCTAAGGTATTGATTGAGCTTAATAAGGTTTTTAATTGACTAATATAAATTAAATCAAACTACGAAGCATTTGAATTGCTGCACAAATGAAATAAAAAGTCGTATGTATATTTCGCCTTATTGGGGTATCATTAGGGGCGTTAAAATTTTGTTTTATTATAAAAATAATGTTCTTCACGCGGCACTAATTAGAAATATTACATATGAATAAAAATCATTAATTGGAAAAATTTAAATTCAAGTTGTTTGATAAATTCGTTAATAGAAATATTATTAACGTTATTTTTAATGCAAGACATAGCTAGCTATCTAATTTAGTTGCATAGAATAAAAAACTATGAAAGTATGTTGAAATTTTGCTCACATAAAAAAAAACATATTCGAGTATTTTACCTATTTTTGACATACTAAATAATGACTTATAAAAAGAATATTGATCTGTAAAAGATAGATTTCAGGGCTTCAGACGAATGCAACAAAAACACAAAATCGAGCATTGAAAAGAAAAGGGAATCCAAATATGGTCTCAGAATTGCCTTAGCAAATCAAGATTTTTAAATATTTAATCTCAAAAGTTAAAAAACACAATTTTTGGCTTTTTGAGAGGAATACTACGAGTAATAAAAGAACAAAGACAAGAGGGTAGCTAAATTAGATGCCCCAGGTAATCATGATTTAAAATATATATCGACTCCAAAATCTGTTGCTAATTAGGAGGCTTATTTGGATTTGAGGAAAGGATATATTAAAATTTCAGTGTTTTAGTATATCTTGTTCGCTTTTAAAAAATATGCGTTGAAAATATGATTCCATTCTGCGTCTTTCAAAGTTATTCTTTTTCGAGGACACTACCATCGAAAGCTGAAAAAATAATCAGAAAAGAAAGTAATCATTTCCGATGAATTCTTCTATGGCACATTCAAATGTGACCTCAAACAAACTCTAACAGACCTTAATTTCAAAACCAAACAAAGTAAATTAGAAACCAATTTCATTATTAAGTTAACAATAAGATTTATCAAAATCTGAACACGCTGGGGAAACCCTGAAGCGAGATTCTAATTCAGAAATAGAAGATATAAATATAAATAACCACTCTCCCGGTTATTTTGGCTTTTTATTTCACAAAAGGGGCAAATGGATAAAAATTGAATTTTTTGGAATTTGATATTACAAAGTTGAGACAATTCTGAAACCAGATTCTGATCCAGCATTATAAGGCATTTTGGATTATGCTTTCAGTTTCTAGATCCACGCTGACCACTAACAGGAAGCTAATGTAGTACTTTCAAATACTTTAAAACCATTTATAATCCTTTAGTTTTAAATTCTTAGATGAAGTATAATAAAAACTAAAACTTCAGTTTGCTCAATTCCATATAATCTTATAGAGAAACACAGTTAATAGATTTAATTTAAAATTTAAGTAAAAGATTAATTAAATAGTTGAGTGTAATAAATAAACGCCCAAAAATATTCAGATTGCGGAAATAATAAAACCCCTTATGATAGAGCTATTAAACAGTGTTTTGGAATAGAAATTGGTATGCAATAAAATAATAAGAAACTTTGTTTGTTTTAATTCAAAAGGAACGGTACATTTTCATTAGATGGAATTAAATATTGAGAAGACAAAAATATGAAATATTATTTCTTGATTTCTTTATAAAACCTTGCAGTTTCATTAAAGAAATAGTCATAGGCATAAATGTACTAATAGGCTTATGTAAAATGGTTTAAATTGTCTTTAGGTCCCAATCCTTCTTTTAATTATAATTTGATGATACAGAAATGTGCTCAGGTAACGCTAGCCTTTTCACCAAATATTTCTTCTGATTTACTGAACGTAAACCAATTATTATATTAAACAGATAAATATTATTTTCATCGAAAGTTCTTGATTCCTAATAAATGATCAGAGAAAAAGGGAAAGTTGTGTCAAACATATGCACGTGGTGGTATGAGGACGTACTACGTAGTTCTGCAAGGTATTTAATTTAATAGTTACATATAAAGAAAGTTGTTCGTTTTTATGTATGCAGATTACTTACAGATAACGATTAAACGATGTCTAATATTACTTGTAGGACAATAATCGATCTTATTTATTTATTTATACGAGTGCATTAATTATGTATATACTAATTTTTTTGACGCCGTATCTATTTATTAACAATAAGGTCAGCTTACCTAAGACTAGAAGAATGAGACAAAAAACTGTCACTAGCAAATTGATATTTGTCTTTAAAAAAGACATCACTACACTTGACTGGCACTAGTTTATGACAAAATCACTTGATATAATAAAATGTATATTTGATAACAAAATCACTTTCTACGGTCTGCTAATGTGTCCTTCCTACTGTAACACTGATCAGATTGAGTTTCTTCGGCAGAAGCCTTAGGTGAAATTAAATATTTACGATATTTTACATACCACGGCCTTTCTTGGTACTGTATTGCTACGTGTGTTTGCTAGTTCACTTTCTCATTGTAAATGTGTTCGATTATGGGTAACTTAAGGCCCCAGGGGCTTCATTTTAGTGTTCAAGAATGGTTTAAGACAAGAAGTGACCAGACATTTAGAGGAAGGGGCAAATAAAACCTTGAACTGTTAGAAGTTATCGGAGAATTTTGGAAACTTTTCAGCTGATTCATTTCTTTTTTTGACATATCTTTAACAGAGAGTTTCCATTATAAAATCTTGGTTTAATAAATAGGATATTTCGTTGATTCATTCAACTTCATTTATTTTTTAAATGAAGATTTTAATTTTTATTCTGTATGCCTATTAAATGCAGTATAAATAAATATTCATGTTTTTTGTGTAATTATCCGATAAGTATAATGTTTTTCTAAAAAATAGACAAAATATTTCTTAGTTTAAAGAATTTCTGACTAAGTTAGTTTTGTATATGAGCAGGCTTTAATTTCAGATTATTTTTTCAATAAATAAACTTGTGTATGTCTATCGGAAACAACTCGTATAGGTATAGATCATGTGGATGTTTACCTTTTAGTTAGTCTTTATTTGTAATGTTCTATTACTTTTTCTATTTTCGATTGAAGGAATGCTTGGATTATTTTTTAATTCGCATATAGTTTTAGGCTAGGACTACATGTCTCCGTTTGTAGATCGATAGCGATTCTATTCCATCCGGTGTTGGATCGATGCTATGTAAATTTCGGCCTCATGCTTCATTTCATTTAGAACAAGACTCAAACCATTTCTACTGTTTTATTACGAAATTGCTCAAATAAACTCTGTAAAAGAAACACATATGTCATAACTTACTGGAAAGCGATATGAAAAACGGTAAGGCGATCTTATTAAACCGGAACGGAATCGTTGCCAATCTGCATACGATGCCACGTAGTCGTAGCCTTACGATTAAGAAGTTATTCTTTATCGAGATTTTGTGAACCTGCTAATGAACTTTCATTTTCTTTTTCATATGCATGACTAAAGAAGGTCAAAAGTTCATTAACTTCAATGTACATAGGTACAAGTTACCTAAGGTCAATGATTTTTTAAGAGACATTTATTTGGTCGTTATTATTTTTCTTTTATTTAATAAATAAAGCCTTAAGTCAACATTTTTTATTGTTGAGTAAATAATAATCACTTAATGTTTTAAATACTTACATACCTAACATTAACTAGGGATTAAGTATCTACTTATTTTTATGAGCAATACTTTTAAGTTAACAGGAATGTTAATAATGAAGAAAATTAGGAAATTACAATTAAGTACGTAAGTTTAACAATCCTCACATGGTGAGGTTCAAATACAGCCAAATCGATTATGTTTGAGATACTGAAAAGTGGAGTTAAGGAAAATTTCTGGTTTACCGTCAAATTTTTGAATTTTCGTTTCGAAAACATCGATTCTACGTTATTACTGATGTTAAGTTCAATGGTAATAACTTTAAACCCTACTAATCGCATGGTAATGATTGAGAAAAAGAAATTAAAAAGAAACAAAAAAAATTCGAGTTATAAAAGTTCGATCGTATTTTACGTTTACCTTTTTCTGGTATTTGTAATTTATTATAAAACAAGAGTAATTAATTTTTGCATTCCTTTTTTAAATACGATTTCATAAATTTCCACAATGTATAGTATCCATAAATTTTAGATAATAAATAATTA